CTGCCCCCTCTACCTAACAGTGTATCCTTTGTGTCTTGACCTAATTCTTTACCAAATCTTTGGTCGTCGTTTCATTCCTGGAATGTTTTCCACATTTCATGTGTCTGACTCTTGATGATTGGAAGAGATAGAAATGTGGTTGATAGCGGCATGTGCCTTCTGGGCTGCAAAGCTGAATGCCCCTGCGAGGACCAAAATTATAGTTTGGAATGTACAGAATATTTGTCGCAAGGCTGGGAAAGTCAGTGTTCAAAAAATGCCTCTAACATCAAACATAGTTTTGCAAGGAGCCTAACCTTTCCTCCACAGATGCTGGTTTGTTCTTTGACTCCTTGCAGCTTCTGGGACTTGTGGAGCAAAAATTTTAATGGGAAAACCGTTTGTGTGGCACCGTGGTGAAATCAGGCGTTAGTCACAATAGTGGAATCAAAGAAACAAACATTTTGCCACCTGTTGGGCTTTTTTCATAGAATTTTTTTTGTTTTGGGCTCAACATTTTTTATGTCCACATTTAAAAACAAATCCCTATATGGCTTTTACTGGAAAAAGTTGATCAAGGGGACCAAAAATTGTAAATTTGCAGTTTCCAAGGATGCTCAAGCTTTGAAACTTACCAGACTTTGGCAGTCATTTTCTCACTAATTTTATCTCTGAAACCAGGCAACCCCCACGTTCTTCAATGGCAAATATCTTGATTTCTATTCATGATAAAGGGTACTTTTTTTCACCAAAAGGAAGGCAAATAAGCTTGAAGATGATACAAATAACTGGGTATGCCCAAAAATTGATGAGCACCTGATTCCACAGTGTTATGACACATTTGTTTTAAAACCACATACATTAATGAAACATTTCTGGAGGGTTTTTGTGCTAGGTATGGTATTGCTTGCAGGATCATGTAGTTTTTCCTTGACAATACCTCCCAGAAATTGTCCGTAGTAAACTTGTTTGAGCTCAGCAAAAACTTCCACAACCGCGGGCCAGCCTGGTTGGTGGAGCGCTACATCCAGCAACAGCAGCCGGTGAACGAGGGCTACCCCCAGACCCCCGCTCCCACCTCAGCACTGCCGCAGGTCACCACCAACTCGGAGAGAACGCCCTTCAATGACAACATGGTAGGGGCCTAACATAACTTGACTGCTTTTGTTCATTTTGATTTTTTGTTTTTTTTGTTTCTTTATTGGTTGGGTTTTTAGTTGGGTTTGTTTTTTATTGTTGTTTTTTAAAGGAGGGAGGGGGGGGGGGACTTTGGGGGGGGGGGGGGAATAAATCTTGTGGGAATGGAATTTTTTTTTTAAGCAAATTCTGAAATGAAGACTAAATTGGTACTCATTGTGTCCGGAGAGGTGCCATGCTGGACTTGTTGGACTAATGAGTAAACTTTTTTCACTGCTCTATTCAGACTTTCGGCCACAATTTGTGAACTGTTAGTGAGATTTATAGGTAGTTGGCAGGTGCTCTGGTGTGGTTTGCTCCTTTTTTCTTATCAAATGACTATCGTCTTTATCTCGATCTCCTCCTTGTTTTTTTGTTTGTTTGTTTGTTTGTTTGTAACTCTCTTGCAACACCTCTAATCGTCGGCACTTATATGACCTACTTGTGTTGCAAGTGCCGCAAAACTATTTCTAAAACAAACAGAAATGTTAGTGGGATTTCTAGTATTGTGTGCTGTGGCCAAAGAGATCTCTTTGGCTTTTTGTGACACACGGCAGGAAAGGGATAATAACTCTGGCCTTTTTTTTTTATGTGTATCAATTACATGGTTATGTCCCTGTAATGATTTGACACGGCTATCGCACGTCATTGAAAAACCAAAAGATCAAGAAAAACAATTATGCAAACATCATTATGGCTTATACTTATAGCCATTGCTGGCTTATAGCCATTATTACAAATGCCATCCTTGCAAACGAGGACACCTTTTCCTCATTTGGTAGCATGCTTGTATGTGGTGCAGATCGACCCAGGTTTGTATCGCCAAAGGGTTTTTCTTGAAACTGAAATAGAGTTTTCAAGGCTCTCCCACTACTTGACTGGACCCTATCAGAGGCGAAAATTGAATTTGTAGAGGTCCGTTTTCTTACACGATCCTTTTAACCCATCGCATATGTATTTACGAGAAGAACTGAAAGATATGTTAATTCGAATGTGTTGTGATGAATCTAGATACAAAAGATCGACACAGAACTAAACCCACCAGGAGCAAACTGATATACACATGTACCTGTATTTTGTTCTTTCAGTTATGGCTGAATAAGTTCCCATATTGTGTAAAGTACTAAGCAGGCCATTAAGTAATGTGTACTGCTTCGGTGAATGTTCAAAATTATCCAGTCTCTTACAAAATTTATAGAGGCGAAAAGGAAGGGGGGTGGGGCACTAGGGTTAGCTCAGCTTTTGCATATCCGATTATCTACATTTTTTTCCCCCTCTCGTCTTCTGTACCAGTCCAAGTAAAGATATGTAAGTTTTTGTTTTCTGCTAACCCTATCAACAGCTTAATCAAAACTTATCCTATCGTTCTTTCATAATCACGTGTAATTAATTATGAAAAGACAGTTTCTATTTTAGTTTCACTCTACTTTTCTCAGTTCTGCCATTTTGAATTATAGAAGGTAGTTTATCTGTAGTATTTTTCTATATGATGAGGATTGGTAAGCAGTTGTGTCAATTCATATTTTTTAGTAAAGAAGAGGACACATTTTCTGTCGTCTCAGAATAATATATTATGGCCTTACTAGAAGCATTGGCTCAACCCTTTGTGGTACTAGCCTCTTAATTGGACCTGGCTCAGTTCGTTGAAGAAATAATTCGCATTTGACCTTTTTGTCATAGAAGTCTACTCTTAGTACATCTCTCTTTTAATTTTTTACAAGTTGATTAAACCGCTACTTCATAGTTTGTTACATTTATTAATTTAGTGCGTTCTTTTTACCAAATAACGATTTGTTGATAACACATATTATTCATGTTTCTTGTTTTATGGTACAATTTCTACGTATTATATTTAATGTCAAAGTTGAGAGGTTTTATGGTTTGTGTCTTTTTTTGTGTAGGCCTATCTGTCCTTTTTAGTGTTTTAAAGTTTTAAAAAAATGTTTCCACTTTATGCTTACTTTGTTTCCTAATATTTTCACAAAGATGGATTCGTAGTACATGTACTTAGATAGCAAAATGTAGTGATTAGAGACTCCGCACTTAAATAACCTAATTGTGTTGCAGTGTCATAAAACTCTCACCAAAACAAAATCAAATAAATATAGCGATAGGCAATTTATAATAATAGATTAATAATGGAATACACTAGGTAGGCCTATATTATTATTATGTCTTTCTTATTAACGGGTTAAATCTATCCCCGCACGTCTGCTTCTCTGTATTTGTGGGTTCCGTCAAAATATTGCTTCTGCTCTAAATATTTTTCGAGATATGTAGTGGAACTCGAGACTATTTCAAGTCAAAGCTCATGGCCACAGCAGCTGGAACTCTTGGAACAAGAGTGTGTTGCCGCAGTGACTTGAGTGTCAAGACGGTTCATGTTTAAACTTTATTTTATTATATTAATGTTGTAGAGAAGGGCCTTTCTTTGCGACTTATTTGACTTTTTAAGCCACGTACAATCTATAATATTACCCCGGCTGCATATAAACTCTCAGATTAAGGCACTAAGATTTGACACCCCCCTCCCTTCCCCCCTCCATTTTCTCTCACCCCCCCCCCCCCACCCCCCAATTAAATTCCAACCAAAGAGAGAGAGAGAGAGAGAAATTATAAGCCTGAGTAGATACCTCCAGAGGGACAGGGGGGGGGTGTAATCTTCATCGATCCCACCTCAAGGAGGTTCCCGTCACCCCTACCCCACCTTCCCACCCTCAAATGATGGAATGCTACTTATTGCTTGGGTATTTCAAATAAAGGGGCCTACCTTTTGTTCTATATTACTTTGTTGTCTGTCCTCCTCTCAAACATGTCAGTGTGTTGACCGAGGGCTCCATATGACGAGAATTAGACCCCAAACTCCCGCTGTGTGAGGCCGACCTTCAAAAGGATGCCCATATATCGGTAGAGTGTAGGCCTCTCTCCTCATAAAAATGGAAGAAAAAGATCTGATGGAAATAGTCACGTAGATATTTTAATAGTATTATCTAGAAACTTAAGAACCCGCCCCAGTGAACAGGAGGAAAAGGGTAGTCTTAAAGGATTCACATGACATATTTATTTCCAGAAGTGCCTAATCATCTCTAGCTTTCGTCTTGTCTCCCACCTTTAGCTATTCTTGTTGCTTTCTGAAAAGCTTCTTTCTATCTCTACATGTATAATGCATAGGCATTGGTTTTATTGTTAGTAATTTAAAAAAGAACGGTGTACAGAAATTATAGGGAGGGGGGGGGGGGGTGTAGCCAGTGTTAAGTATAGCTCATTTAATTTTGGAATTGAATTTAATATATAGAGGTCCCAATATTCCGCTTGTCTCTCCCCAGGAGTCGCCATCAACTCAGAGAAGTTTACAGAGAGAGCGTGAAGTGGAGTCTTGAGTCATCTGGGTTTTGTTAGAGAACGGCCAAACAGTTTGTGATAGATCATTCCATTTGTTACTGAACCAATCCTGTTTTTAATTAAGCCATAACAAAAGAGTTCTATTTCTACCTTCACCAAATGTCAAATCCGTTTTGGTGCTGTTGTTTTTTTTAAATTTTATGCTGCTTTGAGCTCCACGCCAGTGATGTTTGATAACGTTGTATCAATACACAATTTGTATGTTCCATTCAAAAGAGTAAGTGTAACAAATAAGGCACGCACACATAATAGGAACACATTTTCAAATTAGTGGATGTGATGTACTTGTTTTCGTTTCGCATGCTGTAAACAAATTCCCCGTTCATTCCAAACACGTAGGCCCTACTAAGTTTTCATCTGACATTATATGCCCCATGGAAAGTCGGTTGCTCAAACATGTTTGTGTAGCTCAAATAAGATAGCAGCCATGTTTTGGCTGTGACATTTACCTCATAGAGTACCGAGATACAAATATGTATGTGCATGTACCTTGGTGCCGGCCCTTGGCGTTTGTCTTTCGAGAGTTGATTTATCTGTCGATGCTTTTCTCCTCAATGGCAATAAAGTTTCATTGTACATTGTTCATTGTACGTGGCGTTGTTCTTGTTCATGATAGATATAGATCTATGTTTCAGAACGTGTTGAGATTTAGAAGTTTCAGTGTTATTGACTCATAATTCAGGTGTTAATGTTTCCCATAAATCATCAACATCGATCTGTCTTTGGGCGACCTGACACATGTACTTAAAAATAGATTAATAGATAAACATAAAGGGAAATGAAATATCTCGTTTTAACTATGTTGGGAAAAGTACGTTTCAATGGCTAGAACAAGCTATATATAATAGCTCAGAGGTTACCTTGAGGGTCACGAAATGTAACCTCACATTAGTACAGACAATAATATTTCAGGAATGTCTTTGTTAGTTGACTCTGGGGTTTTTGGGGAGATTTTTTTTACCTAGGATTGTTAATAGTAACTTAATAGTATGGCTTGCCCAAGGACGCACCCCAGTGTCCACCATCTGAATTCAGTGTCACTTACATAGCTCTACGTAGTTCGTGGGCCGAAGGTCGCCAAACACGCAGATCACTGTGGCTACAATCAATGTGTTGCATCGCTCGTCAAGAGAACGGAATTGAAGACTCCGACATTTTTCCGCCCCTCCGGCCTTTTTTAAAATGAGTTTTTGTTTGGGACTCGCAGCACCTTTTGTGTCTACGTTCAAACGTATTCCTGCGTGGGTTTTGATGGAAAAACTATGACCGAAAGCACAACAAAAGTAAACTTGCAGATTCCAAGGACACTACAGCGTTTGAAATCACCAAACTTTGACAGACTTTTCTCGCTAATTTTATATCTGACACCAGGCGATCACCACCTCCTTCGATCGCAAATTATATCTCCCCTTCTATTCGAGATAGATGGGTGATTTTTTCCAAAAGCGAGTTTTGTGAACAGGATTTAAGATTATAGCAATGACTCCGTAACCCCAATATTTATTTATGAGCACCAGATTCCACCGAATCTAGACACCATTCTCGATACGCTTTTCCATCCTACAAAGCACCTTTGTTGACCACATTTCCCTCGCCACTGGGCCGGAGTCGACTATACTTCATGTTTGCATGTTGAGATATATATGGATATGTGGCGTCGGTGGCCTAGTGGTTAGGCTCTCGGACTCGCAACCGTAAGGTCGTGGGTTCGAATCCCGTCAGGGACCCGACGTTGTGTCCTTGGGAAAGGCACTTTACACGAATTTTCCTCACTTCACCCAGGTGGGAATGGGTATCCGGCTATAGACAGCGAAAGATCTTGTCAGTTTGTTAGTGTTTGAGCGCTTAATCGGCTGCTCGCACTGTATGCTTCCCGGGAAGCTGAGAATGTTTCGGAGTGTTCTATGGTCTGCTGGGGTAATAATATAGTGTAAAGCGCATAGAGCCTGCTGCTGAGCGGGGATATGCGCTATACAAATGCTATCTATAATTATTATTATAGGGAAAGCCAAGACTTGTGATTTCACCTGTGTGACGTAAGATCATAGTGCGGTAAAAGTAAAGTATAGCTTCACATTTCGAACTGCTTGACCTAGTGCACAACTGCCATGGTCACCGTGGGGGTTGCAGAGGGGCTGCAGCTTTTTTGTTTGTTTGTTTTGATAAGTGTTTTACGGTGCTCGCAACTTCATAAGGTCGTATAAGCGCGCGAGACACATTAAACATTTTTAGTTGGTAGGAAATTTTGAATTTTACCCGGATGGCGGCCGAAGCCTACTCTTATCGATTTTAGACCACCAAGGGATCTTTAACGTGCGCAACTTGCACACGAGACCTCCGAGATTTTCGCCCTTGTCCGAGAAGGCTATGTGTAAATCTTTCCTACCAAAAGATCAGGGGTGTGGCTGAAAGACAGCAGTAAGAAGGAGCCAAGGAGTAGCAGTAGAAAGGCTGCAGAAAGAGTCAGGAGCCCAGAGGTGAGGTCAAAGGAGGTGATGGGGTGGGGGCAGAAAGTGGAGACGAAAGTAGACGACAGATCATTGCTAGAGAACAAGAAAGGAGGTGAAAGGAGACAATTTTAGAGAAGAAAATTTTTAGGTCGCAACCCGGATTCGAACCTGGGACCTTTGAATGAGAGGCCAACACCTTAACCTTTAGGCCACGAGAGCCCCCAGGTTGCCGCTATTTTACAGGACTTGGGAGCTTTGGGCAGTAATCGTCGGGGCGTGTGAAAACGTAGGAAGTTGTACCTTATGTTTACCCATTATATCTTTACATACACCATCAGAAGGGCTGTATCAAACCAAAAGTCAACATATTGATGCTGCACCAAGAGGTGTTCACGTTCTTCTGTGAAATAGTTATATACAGAGGCGCCGATTTACCGGATAAATCCGGAAATCCGGATTTCTGAAATTTGCCGGATTTTACCCGCCTTTTGCTTAATTAAATACAAATTATACAAAGTTAGTCTTCCTATAAGATGTACAAGACAATACGATCCATAGATTTTGGGTGCCTGCGCTTGTTTCCTGGGATCCGAATATTTCAGGATTTCTTTTCGTATCCAGTTGGCACCTCTGTATATTAATATTATGATGTGTAACAAAAGAGATGGGGATATAATGTAGCTCTGTATTTTTTATGTATTTCATGTCTCTTTGCTATACCCATTGTGTATGTTGCTTTGTAATATAACAACACATACCATCATAAACCTTTCGTCTGAGAAAGACCAGATCTTATTGGTCGATGTAAATACCATAATAGACTGGTGATTGTTATTAATTTCCCACTTCCAAAAAAAACACTGCTGTATCTATTGAGATCGGGTTCATGTTTTGTGTATACTTAAGCAACATAAAATGTTCAAATAAAAATATGTTTGACTAGAAATGACTGTAAGGGCCATTTGTGCCTATGATTAAAGACCTATGAATGGAGTCGTTGTTTTGTTTGTTTGTTTGTTTTTCCCCTGTAATTATCGAAATATCATTGACAGTTGGGGCGTGTTCTTTGGCAATATTCAACTGGTGATAAATACATACTTTACCCTGATATCATCCTATGCGTGCGCCACAATAATAATATGTATGCCGTTTGCTCAGTTGGTATCCTGCTGGGCTAGAGTGCGGAGGTGACATCTCTATAGTGCGGAGGTAACTTCTCTTTTTTTTCGGAGGGGGGGTTGTTAGGCTGTTATTCTTTTAAATCCTAAATGGATTATTCATGAACTTGGGGGTTGGTTGGAGAATCTTGATCAAACTCTTCGCCCACTTAATTCGGTAATTCCTTTCTTTCACGCGATTATGAACTTCTGCTGTTCTTTCCACGCACGACTGTTCTTGTATGTGACAGTGGGCGTGTGCGATTGAAAAAATAACAACAACGAAATTTAAAGACATCATGGAACAAGCTGAACAATCAAAAGCGAAAATGAAATGTGACAAATTCCTTTTTCTCTCTGAACTCCTTCGGCGTCTGTGTTTTAGCGGATATGCACTTCGCTGTCGCACGCAGGAGACCCGAGTTCGATTCCCGAGTGGGGGACAATTTTTTTATCTATATTACCACGGCTTTTGTACTTAGATGTTTTATCCCTTTCTGCACGGTTTGCCCTGACAAACAGGGTTGGAAGCCACCCTCCAACATGATCAAAATTGTGTCCACAGGAGAGTAAGAACACTTACAATGATTTTTTTCCTCTGTACTCTTCATATAATTTATTATGAGAGAAGTATATATGCATACAGAATGGACTGAATACCCATTTCAATACGCCAAAGTTATGTCCGACGGGATCCGTGGTTTATCGTCCATGTACATAAATGAAGAGAAGAATTCCCCTTTATGGATTTGTACTTCAATGGCATCACATCCACCGCAGTCCTTGCTGTCCTTTTTAAAACAGTTAACTTTTTAAAGAACTTTGTGAACGGCTCCAAAAAGTAGAAGTTGTTCCCATCTTTACCATGCACATTCGTGCCTTTACTCTTTACTGTCCGCCCTTTGATACACCATTAAACAGGTGATTGGTTGGCGGGCGCTCTGGTGCTATTTGCTCCTTCTTTCCTATCAAATATCTATCGTCATTATGGTTGTTTTTTGTTTTTTTTAGCATGTTACTCTCTTGTAATGCCTCTATTCTTCAGCACTTCTATAACATATTTCTGTTGCAAACGCTGAAAAAAATCTTACGAAAAAAAAAAGAAAAAGACTTGAGCATTTCGTACCGCTGTTCTAGGAAGTACGGCACGGGTTCGGCTCTTACGGATGCTCGGCGATAACATCCCCCCCCATACCCCCCCCCCCCCCCCCCCCGTCCCTGTTATTTAACAATTTAACACGACAGGAATATTATGAAGTTTCCCTCATGATCCTGTCAGTACTGTCACAACAAGTCCCATAACTGTAGACACTCAGTAACTCTTCCGTATTGTCATAGTCAGAGGGTAACTACACATCTTCGAGATGGTCCAGGTGGTTATACCAGCAGTCTGGTACCTTTGGGTCATATAATAGCCTATCTATCTATCTATCTATCTATCTATCTATCTATCTATCTATCTATCTATCTATCTATCCATCTGTCTATATAGATATATCTATCTACACTTTAAACACACGCATACACACGCACACACAAACACGTACGCGCGCGCACACACACACACACACACATACACACACACACTCACACACACTCACACACACACACACACTGTGTGACAGGCGCGCGCAAAATGTGAATACAAATGTATCGTCAAAGACTTGGCAGGAAATCAACTTGCATATCTAGAAATTTCCCAGGCGTTCAGAGAAAAGAGAATGATTCTCGAACTTAAAGCATTCATTCAGTCCCCTGGAATTCCGATGTAATAAAGAAAAACAAATCAAAATAACAACAACAACAACAACAAAACCCAACTGTTCTCTGCACAGAAACACGCTATGGACGTGGCTATGATGAGGTGTTTGTCAACAAATGTCTGTGACTTATTTTATTTCTATCGTTTTTGTCTTATGTAACAGGAAGACTTCCTCATTCACACACAAACTTGACTTTGAAGTAATAGATCTATCTTA